AGTGTATCTTTAATATTGATTCCCTTTTTTAGTATATTGAATTTTTTTAAATAAAAAAGAAAGCAAAATTATTTACATGCGAGAATTTGAAATAATTTTATTGCAAACTCAAAGTTTATTGATAAAGCCATTTAATTAACGGCAGTTTAGTTTTATAAAGAACACTTTATAACGTTTCGCGAAGCGTTTGTGGTTGAATTTCACCTTAAATTGAAGCTATATATTACGTATAATATATATGTAACATATATATAATATGTTGGGAAATTGATAATTTTGTATTTAAAAGTGATATTTTTAGGCGATTTTTCATTTGTAATAATATTCAAAAAAAATTATCGTGTTTAATATGACAACTACTTTAGATACTTCATGTTCGGAAAATACAATGGTTTTGTCAACAAGGCGAGGGTTCCTGCATGCATGTATTTTCTAGTTTTTATTTATAATATAGTCATCCACCGTATAAGAGCTATTCTGTATTCTGATTGTTCGAGCTACTCGCTATATGTCACCTCACATACAGTTATACTGTATTTTACTCATGACTGTTTAAATTTCGTCAAATTTCAAACAAATGGGAAGAGAGATTGCTTTTTGTCGTCAACGTGCATGTATTTTTAGAAATCAGAACCCTGATATTCAAGACTATCGTCTAACGCATTTCTAACAAATTCTTAACGTTAGCGTTACCGTACTAGTAGTCTTTCTCCAAGTAGTTTATGCTAAGAGCCTAATAGCCTATTATATAAATCTTAAATGTCCTATAATTACTGTGACTAGCGTGCATGTGACATTTGAAATTGTTATTACCCTCCGCTAGGAGCTTATGTTTTAATCCGTTACTGTATCTATATCTGCGCATGCGTTTTTGTCTGTCAGCATTGTTAAAATAAAATAAACCTTGATCTTGAAAATATTCGAAAATGGATGCTTCGAAATAAGCTCCAAATTCACCCTAAAAAATCGAAATATATGTTCATTGGATCAACGTATAACATTAAACGTTATAAGATATGGTGTCAACATTGACGAAAGATTGACCTGGATAAAACATATTGATATGATATGTTCAAAAGTATCTGCGAGTATCGAGGCTATAAGACGTATTAGGCCTTTTGTATCGCCTGCGACACTAACATCGATCCACAATACCATTGTCCAGCTCTACTTTGATTACTGCAGCCCCCTCTGGGACAACTGTGAAATTAGCCTCAAGGACAGGTTGCAGAATTTCAAATTCCGGCTGCAAGAGTAATTTCTGGTGCAACTAGTACTTACGATGTTCATGCGGTTCATTTACTCGAAAGTCTGGGTTGGAAACACATAGAACTAAGGCGAAATTATCTAAAATCTGTTTTTATGTATAAAATTCTGAAAAAGCACATGTACCGCACCAAATCCAACCTCGTACCCAGGGTATTTGCTCTTGGGGAGTGAAATACCCTGGTGTGGTATGGTCACGGGACCCGCAGATTTTGCGTAAAATGGCGTATTGTTTACTAGGGTCGGGGGAGTGAGTATACATGTCCCTTCTAGTAATTGAAATTTAAAAGCGTGATATAATTACTAGGAGTGACAATGTATACTCACTCCCCCGACCCTAGTAAACAATACGCCATTTTACGCAAAATCCGCGGGTCACGTGACCAGGCCATACCAGGGTATTTCGCTCCCCTAGAGCAAATATCCTGGGTACGAGGTTGCACCATATCTACAACATGAGCTCCACCTCTGAATTTACTATATGAAGGAATTGTTAAACACGTCCGAATTTATCAATATGATAAATCCGCGGCACATTTTGAAAGTATCAATAGAATAAATCATAAAACAACATCATTAGACAAGAGGTTTTGTTATAGATGTAATGGCACTAAAAGGCGGGCTTGGTCGCGTCGGGGTGGTGAGATCTTCAAAAGAAGTTAAAAAAACTAAAAAGAATTAAAAATATTAAGCTAACAAAAGTTAAAAAAAAAGTTTAAAAAAGATAGATTTTAGGGTTAGGTGTTAGTGTTAGGGATTAGGTCGAATTTATCGTATTGATAAATTCAAATTCGGACGTGTATATTCAAAGGTGGAGTTCGTGCTGCAAATCAAAGATCATCCTTTCGATTGAATAATGAATGTGATAATACCTATGATCTTAGAAATAGAGAAACCGATTTGTCTCTTCCTAAACCGAATACCGATTTTGGTGAAAGATGCTTCAACTATAACGGGAAGTTAGTATGGAATACTCTACTGTATGAGGTAAAAGTAGCGGTGGAATCTTTAAGTTAATTTTTGGCAAAGAACTGCTAATCAGGCAGACACTTAAAATTGGCTCGTCTAAAATTGGTTTTGTAACAATTTTGTATAATCTAGTAAAGTTTATCTGTGTATTCTTTCTAAAATCACGCCC